AATTTTTCAAAGTAACTCAAAGAGTACCTAGCAATACTCATATCTCTGTAAAAGTCATCTGATACATAACAAGTGTCCTCTTTAACCTGTCAAAGGAAAAAACAACAGTTACAAGGTGTGGAAGCCGGCTAATTTCTTTATCATAATTTACATATGACAGATCACATGAAAAGCAATGGCCAATGATCACCTGGCAGTAGGTTGAGCATTACCCTAAGAGCTACTTGAAGTTAATAAATAGATCCCAAATACAGTTCAGTTACACAAAATATTTTTCTCCAGTTACACTTTCGACAATCAATATCCCATGCACTACTGACTGAATAAAGTAGTGTGTTTAGCTAAACTGCAAACAACAATGGAACTCAGGAACAGTCATTTTTACATGTGCTGAATGCAAAGTTGACTTTTTCCAAGGAAGAGACCTGGCATAACAAAAATATGACATCTACTTTAAAGTTAAGTACCTACCTGATTAATGACATATGTTTCATCTAACACATGAAGTTGCCTGTTAGTTAAAAATACATGTTAAGAAAAGGTTATAACCTTGAGCAAGATCTACATGTATTATGTATGTTTATGCAAAGTGAGTGTCTTGTATCACATAGGTAGAGATATATAAAAATCTAGGAAACCTCAAACAACTTCTTGTGTATATGCTGCAGATTTTTGAAGTTTGCTGATCTCACTAGTAAGTCATGCATAAAAAAGTCAACTAAAATCAGACAGTTACAGTTGGAATGAGGTCTTTGCAATCAGATCAGTTAAAATGTTAGTTTTTTGTCAGCTCTAAAATTCAGTTTATTGTCACTTTGTCGGGCATTGTAGCGCATTTTGCAGGCTAAAATGGAGAATTTGGCAGACTAAAATAAACCAATGACAAGTGAGAATCAAACAATCTATGCATCACCAGTTGATTTGGGACAAAGCCAGACTGTTTGATTACAACAAATAACCCATGTTTAAATGTCATATCTGATAATCATTCCACCCAAGAAGGATGCCTGGTTGACATGAGGTGACAACAGATGTTTTTTTCATGTAAACATGATACTCAATCACCAACTCAAACAAAAACCATCCTTAGAAAAGTGAAACTTTCACAGGAAATATCCATAAGGTGTCTATGAAGATTCAAGTCCTGTTAAAGTAAATTCAGTGATCTGTTACTTACCTGTAAGATAAGATTTCCTTTAGATGGTTGGTCAACAACTTTCCCCCAACATTAATCCTAGAACAAAGAGCAGAGTTGTGAATACATGTTACTAAAATAAAGTATCAGTTTCCACAAGAAAAAAGATGTCAGCAAGGGCAATATTTTTCCTCGCACTTTATGCATGTTTGTTGCAGTAACTCTTTTGTCACAAATCAAGCATAGAGCTAACCCTTGAAAAGTCAACTCAAGTTTGCATAACTTGTACTAGCCAAGGTCATTTTAATATTACTGTCATTTTAAGTAATAAGGCAAGACACAAACTCTGCTAAAAAGCAAAAAAAAAATTTGTTACCTTTTTATCCCTTTCTTCAATATTTTGCCATTAAAAACAGGCACAATGTGTGTGAAGGAATATCCAGTATCTACAACCAGGGATATCAGACGTTTGTCCACTTCTTCTTTGTGACATTTGAAAGCACTCAATTGGGCAGCTTGGAATAAAGAACAGATAAAGTTAGCAAGGATGAAAAAACAACAATAACACCTGCCCTGAGGCTTTTTGAAATCTGTCCATGCCATGATTATTAATTATCTATGAAGACATATTGTCCATTGTGTTGTGCAGATATACCCATCTAAATGAAATGTATACAACCGACTAAATGTTCTCGCTTCTGTAATAATATTCTTTTAATGCATCCTGAGGTCGTGAATGCAAACACAACAAGAAAACAAATTGCAGTCCTATATATGAAAGAAATTACTATATATTTTTTTATTGCATTAATTTAATGAATGTTAATTTCATCAAAACAGGTGTATTAAGAATAAGATGTGATGTGACTACACCATTCTGTAAAAAGTGACTCACCTGATATTCGGCAAAGAGCTTTGAAATTATATTCTTCAAACAAAATTTCATCTGTAGCATCCTAACATTAGTGAACAAAACATGTTACATTCATACACATGACCATGCATTTCCAAATCAAGGTTTTCAAGATAGTAAATCTTAGCAAACGGCTAAGTAGACACATCTTCATCCCCCAGGCATCTTTTTTTTCAATTGTCACTTGCATTACCTGCGATCATGGTTTGTACAAGCTTTTCAGTCAAAACTCAGAGGATTTTCATGCTATTTTAGAGTCACATGATAATGCCAGGGTGCTAATTTTTAATTTAAGGTTTCTATTTTTTAGAGACTTAACATGGAATATGGTGACATAACATTCACCACTGTGATCTGAGAATACTTGAAAACTAATTACAAAGAACCCTCATTGAGAGTCCTAAACTTGCTACAACTTTTTCTCCGCAATATTATTATTTAAAAAAGCATTGTACTACACAAACAAGACAAGTGGAAGGCCACGAATAAATAACTCTTTTCAGCCTTCTCTTGTATTGTAATTGAACCCACCTTGATAGAGGTAAAGTTGAAGTGTGGTTCAGTCATCAAAATTGTTGTTTCAGGAAAGTCAACCTAAAGAATGACATTAAGTTGAAAAAAAAAAAAAAAAAAAAAAAAACCCTCACCATGTGCCAATAACAAAGCAGTAAAAACAATGATTACCTTATTGGTATTCGTTCAAGCTACAAGTCATTTGTAACATTTGGTTCTGAAAAGTTCGGTGCACTGAATTCCTTTAGGGGCATTATCAAATCAAAAACAAGCTTAATTTACAGATCAAATTTACGACAAACTACCTTCATAACTTCTTTGCCAAACATGTAATCCCATATCTGCTTCTCTACATCCCAGTTCACTAGGAATCCCTTTTGAAAAGGGAGGAGGTAAAATAATCCGGAATAATCTTTACACTCTTCGAGTTGATCGCCAATAAACAACTTTCGGCGTTCGCTCTTCGCTTTGAAAATACAGTTCGGTATAAGCCTGAAGAGGGAAACCAAGCCCCGTTAAGTTTTTCGAAGCAAGTTTAAATCTTCTCTTAATGTATTTGTGCTATTGATTCCTTACCTTGGACTATCAGTTGTATTAAATCCGACTTTAGCTAAACTGGCGCCATTATCTAGCACTAGAGCCACCATCTTGGATTTCCTGCCTTCTCTTCAGGGCTCCACGGATGGAGACCACGGAGTAACACTGGGTATGAATTATGAGATTTTCTTAGTATGGATCAGTCTTGCACGAGTCTTGAATGAGATACCACTGAGTATTAGAAACTCTCAAAAACAAGTAATCATGAAAAAAGACTCATAGTAATAGAATTTTCTTTGAGATAGGAAAAAAAACAAAAACAAATAGGGAAACTCCTACCTTGACATGGCAGCTGTAACCTACCCTCACCCTCAAAAAAAAAAAAAGGAAAAGGAAAGAAAAAAAAACACTGACGTAGATATTGTTTTAATTTATTCCTCCTTTTTTTCCATTTTCATATTTACTCATCCAATTGATTCAAACTAGCAACAAAACTTATATTCAACTATTTCATGCTTAGGTCTTATGGTGCATATAACCTAATATTAGCCTGAAATAATAATAAAAAAGTTGAAAACGGAGTTGAAGTAAACATTTAAGTCACTCTCAGGCTTAAAACTGTCCAGGGCTCCTTTTCTGGAAAGTCCTGATAAATCAACAGGCCCAAAGCTATATTTTATTAATATCAAAATTTAAAAAATAGAGAAGCAGGTTCTAGCTCCCTGACCATTCCATTTTTTTTCTTTGGCTGAAAGTGTAATTGTATGATTCTAAAAACTTTTAAAACCTTCATCTTGAATGAAAACAGAACAGCTTTACGGGACCAATAAGCAACTGGGACCTTCAAGAAACTGACCCCAAATCTGTCATCAACAAAATATATCGTAGATTCCACAAAAATTTCAAAAATTCATACTTAAAGCTGATTGGTAATGATGATCAGAACAAACAAGTGGGAAATAAAATCAGCAGGGACACTTTATATCCTCTCCAGCCCAGCACACATAGCACTTCTGGGTCAACTCTTACCCTCCTAAAGAAACTGTGGTGCTGCCCAGCACACATTGTGGGTTGTGTGTGGATTTATATGTAGAAAGTCTGGGTCAACTCTTACCCTTAATAGTAAGGTACCTGAATGTCAAAAGAAGACAAAAAGGGAGAGAAAGAGAGAACCCTCCCCAAGCACTTCTCATCAATAACACAATGGCTCACATTTCATATGAGTGGACATGTGCCACTTAACTTTAGTTCACAAAGTCAAAGTTGACAGGCGACATTCCAGGCTGAATGAAAAATGCTTGAAATAGTGGCTTAAGTATTCTGGACCATTCACACAGCAAAGTAAAGCAAAACCAAAGTCATACTTTCCACACTCAATTGGAAATTGCTCAATGGTGAAACAATAAAAGCAACATGTACGAACTATCATTTTGTTCTTTTCATGCCATAGAGAAAATTTTTCTGGTGGAAACTTTTGAAAGTAAAAGAAAAAGCAAGACAGGTGGATGAAGGGGCTGATGCTGGCCAATTTACATTATGAACTCAATTGGTGACATTGAATTACCTTCTAATACCTGCCACTGACTCAACACTACACTTCCTTTAATTATCAGGCAACAGAAAAATTTGTTTGCTTTTTGTAATTCATTTTGTATGGAAAAGCTTTAGGTAGGCCTCAACTAGATATAGCAACCCACTTTTTCCAACTCTGAACATAATGAACCTGCCCCATAACAAGCCTATTCTCTCTTGAACAACAGGCTACTAGTACCATTAGAAAAACATAGACCACAAATGAGCTGGGAGGGGCAGAGGATCATAACTTCCTGAAAAATCTACAGAGGAGAAATAACTGTACAGCAGTAGAGTATTTCCTTAAAAAAAGGAAGAAAAAACAAATCAGAGAAAAAGAGGGAGAGCATTTATTGAATAATGAACCATACATGCTAGACAAAGAAAGTTTTCATCTGTTTAATTTCTTCCATTCCATTTCTAGATTACCACCAAGTTATCAGCAAAATTACCTCTTTTGTGACTTCACCACTTGCAGAGCAATAACATCTAGCTAAGATCCTAACAAAAAGTTATTTGAATCTGAGCTGTCATAAGCAAGACAATGAAAGTCACCAAGAAGGTTAACTTTTGAATTTTCTGTCACTTTCATCCTCTTAACAAACTAATTTTCAAAAAAATATATTCCTTATGGGGACTCTGATTTTTTTTCCTTTGTCCCATGCTTGTGACAAGATGAAAAACATCTTTCCCCAATACATAACTATGTTGATAGTCACTCACAAGATTTTGAAGGAAGTGACAACAGTTGTATTTCACAAAATCACCCTTGTTGATTAGCTATACAGTACAATAAAATTATCTGATTCACCAAATAGGGTGGTAGAGCAGAAGTTTAAAAAGAAAAAAAAAGTAATAGTAAAAAAGTATAAACAGAAATGGTAGCTTTTTACCTCACAAAGATATGATCCCAATTGACTGATCAAAAAAGGATATCCTTCTAGTTGTTTTCAAGTAAATAAATTAAAAATTATTTTCTTATTGGACAGTTCCATTCCTATGACTAGTTACTTGACTTTATTTTCAAAACTGCATCTCTAACAGCTTGAAGGTCAGCTTTATCACCAAACTCTTTTTCTTTATGATCAAGTAATATGCCTTGCTCTCCAGGTCCTACAACAAAGACACCACCCAAGAGGCGTCCCTCTCCTTTAAGGTTGCCCTCAATTCCCTTGCCTCTGGCTCGAAATGCTGACTTCCACACACTTGGTCGTAACAATCCTGAAAAATATAAATTAAAAGTTATAGAGGAAGATGTTTCTTGTCTTGTCATGACAGTGGGACAAAGAGGAAATTCTTCATCCCCATGAAGAATCCAACCTCAGAACTTTGGATTTTTCTGCTCCTTATATCTTTACCGAGTACAAAACTTACCATCTGTCTTATTTTAACAACAAACAATATTCTATTGACATTGCTGATCCTAGCAATATGCTGGATGCATGTTATATATGAACTTTGTAATAGGCCCTGCTCACCATGGAGTCTCTGTGGCTCAGTGATAAAGCATCAGAGCACCAAAATAATCTGAAGGTCTGAGGTCATGGGGACCCAGAAATTTTCTTTACTGAGCTCAAAATTTACGATCTATCTTATTATGCTGTTGATGTCGCTGATCGTAGCAATATGCTGGATGCATGTTATTTATGAACTTCATAATGGGCCTTGCTCACCATGGAGTCTCTGTGGCTCAGTGGAAGAGCATCAGAGCACGGAAAAAACTTAAGGTCTGATGCCATGGGGACCCAGAAATTTTTCTTTGTTTGACACTGATGACAAGACAAAAAACATCTTTCTCCATTTCTTTACCGAACTCCAAAACTTACCATCTTTCTTATTCTATAAAAAGTTATTTGGCAAAACTGTAACTAAAAGTGACTGATAAAATTCTTAGTCTTTAAACAATGCCTTGTTTGTTTGAAATGCACACTTTCAATAAATGTTACATAATTACAAATATTAACCCTTTCACTTCCAATAACTCAAGGCGAGAATTATCCTCATTGTCTTTCATACAATTCTTGTAAAGTTTGTTCTGAGATTTTGGTGTTTGATCAAATGATAATCCCCTAGTTAACATTTGTTGTTATTCTCATTACTTGGCCGCTTGATATTGTATTCATACAGTAGGGAGAAATAATGTCTTAGAAGTGTGAATAGGTTAAATACTAAATTTAATAAAACACATTGAAAATGCCTGTTTTCTATGAGATTTCAGGTTAATTTAGATCAATTTTAATTATTCAAATGTGTACTGGTCATTTTGTGCAGTAGATCTCCTAAAACTTAGTAAATGAAAACACTCTTCATCTGGTTGTAAGCCAGGCATAGCAAGCAAACTTACCAGTAAGAAACATCCACCGTTGTTCAGGACCATAAAACTTTTTCTGAGGTAAGAACAATAAGATACCATTTTAAGAATTGGTTAACTCAACTGCCAAAGCAATTAATTATTTCAAATTTAGCTGCAGACATATGAATTTGATGTAAATTTCTTCACCTGTAAGTAGAATATACCAAGTCAAGACTTTTTTTTCAAAGTAAAATTTTAGACCAGAAAAATAGCTGATTATTTTTTAGGAAAAGCTCAGCTAGATCTGAATAGATACCTGAAAGAATTTTTAGCCTGTAATTCTTCATAAATTAATCTCATGAACCTCTTTCACCCTCATAAACCAACATGCACATTATTTTTAACTGGTGAGACACAGAAGGTACATGAAAAGAAAAGTCATTAAAAATCCATGACATTTATTTCACAGATACAGGTTTAATGCTCTTATTTTACCTCTTCATCAAGGTAAATTGTAGAATTTAGATATGGCTGAAACTCTTTCACTCCCATTTCTTCATGAACCACACCCACAAGGTTTACACCCCTCTGGTCCAGTTCAGGTTTCAGAGAGGACAGCTCTGAAGCTTCCTAAAGAAAGATTAATAACGATACTAGCTGACATGAATAAGCAACACTCAAGTGCAAGATATCTCTTATTAGCAAGTATTGTATATCATTGGAGAGTTTTTAATTGCTCAATGTTAGTTCATAAACCTTTCTTTTTTCAAAATAACCCAAATAAAAAGCCCAAATTTCAAGCATCAAATTAAAGGGCAATTTATAAAGCTGGAGGACCTTGCCTCTCAACACATGTATAATTCTACCATAATATGTACATAAAATTTTGAACAGAAGCATATTTTACCTCCCTGCACAAGTTTCATCCTGGTCGTCGCACCACCATTATGACTGCTCCACTATTTTGCCAAAGGTCAGATGCCATCAGTTCTCTTCCTAATCCATCTAAAGTCTTGAGTTTAATGGCTTTCAAATAAGCTAAATCAGGCCTTGCACTGTTCTTGTACCAGTCCCAGTTTGAATAAACATAACTTGCAACAAGTGCTATTCCACTAGCACCGAGAAGCCAAGCCATCTTGGTAGCTATGCGGCCTGTAAATGAACAAAGGTTTTTAAATTTCCTACAGTAATTTTGATCAAAAGAATGGTCATGGTGTATTTTCATTGGAACATTTTCTTGGAAACACAGCCTTTCAAAATACCCACAATAGCACTGGAACTTTTGGGAGATGGGAGAGGGGAAGGTTTCTTGACTGACAAACTCTCCACACCAAAAGGGGCAGGGGCTTGTTTCCTGAAAATCTTGATAAATTTATTGGGCTAAATACACATTTCACAGTCTAAATCTAAGGTCTTCCCTTAAGATCCATTCTGTTTCATTCCCTGATATCTCAACTGTTTGGATTTCAAAGCTATTTATATCTTGATCTTGAATGAAAACACAACTGAAATCAGCTTTTAGGAATTGGTATTACCAGGACTTTGAGAATCAAGTGGATTTTACCAAACTAGCTAGTGACTCATAAGATGATGAGGTATGGGAACTAGCAGCTGAAAGAACAAGGCATAAAGGCTTGACACTCAACTCAAGTAAAGAAATGTCTAACAGAGAGCCAGAGTGAAACCACATCTCAAGCACTCAGCTAATTATCCATGTCATTGCAGAGTTTAGGACAAGAAGATGTCAGCTGCTGAGTCTAAAGGAAATTTGCTGGTCTAACTCTACAGCTTTAAGTCTATTGTTACTATTGCATATCTGTGGAGTGCAATGGTGCTTCTTTTCAGCTAAACAACTGAGAAATTCTCAAAATATCGTGTCCAGCATAGGCTAGGGTCACAATTCACCATCTACTAGACAACCATGCAAATCACTTTAATAAAGACAAAATAAAGTTAGCTCACTATATCCAGTTGGCCTATTTTTCAAGCAAGCAGGACTACCGGCCTCCGGGCTCCCCCCAGCCCTGGCTAGCTTACGTAAGATATAACCCTTCTAGACTGCCCCAAACACAAATAACCACACCCCCTCGAATTAGTTCCATGAGAATAAAACAAATTGACAGAGATTTCCTTTGATCGACCATGCTGTTATGGTAGAATTCATAATTGCAAAAATAAGAGTGCGATAAGATAACGATGACGTCTGAGCACTACCACATGTGGAAGACTTCATATTACTTAAAAGATAATAAGTTATGAATCTGGGCTGAGCTAAGAGCCATTGGGCATTTAAATTGCTCCTTCCAGCAGAATTACTTGACATAAATAACAAAAAATTACACAAGATCACTAAATACCTTTGAAGAATCTTATGGTTTTAGCCAGTGTGCATGTCAGGATCTAATTCGTCGGTAAATTTCGGATGATTTTAATCTTCCCCCTGCATCACCTTCAGGTCGACCGCCATTAATTTAAGCGTCTTAAATCGACAGTCCTACGAAATTCCTTCGTGAACAAAGAACCAATAAAAACGTCTAAAATCCTGAACTATGATCTTTTTGCCCAATCAGCGCGCACTTATCCCCGATGCATTATGGGATGATTTTCTTTAGCTGGCAAAAGCGCGTGATTTTGAACAACAAGATGTCCGTGAACTGGTGTAAATTGAGTCACTTTTCTACGTTGTTTTCATGGGATTTTGGCTTGCAAAGGAGGCTTGTTTTGGACGCTGTTTAAGATCGATGCATCTTACAGGTAATTAGTGGTTATTCAGGGGTCATATCTCTCGAAGGACTGTCCATCACGAAAGAATAGGCAGTGTTTCTCTTAGCGACCGTGGCCGGTGGAAGATCTCTTGCGTTTCTTTCCACGATCATGAAGTTAGAATTCTGCCCTTAACTTTAAACTCACCTTTTTATCTTAATTTAGATTTTATATTAACCGCTTTAATGTTTGCGTAAATTTCAAGTGTCAAGGAGCCTCCTACAACGCCGCAAAAATTCATGTTTTAATTGTAAACTTTTAAGCCTGCAATTGACTATTCTTATTCCCTTTTGTGGTGGTTCTTTCGATTGCAATTTCTGTCCGTCTTCCCGTTGCGTCCTTAAATGCAATAAAATGATCCCATGGCCAATTTTTCGAAGAGAGGTATTATTGATAAGTATGGGTATCAAACACGTCGATTGTTTGCTAAAATTATATGGAATTCGAACGGAAACTTTCGATTTTCGCATGGTGGGTTTTTAAAGAATGAAATGTCTCCCATTCTTTAAATGCTGCCGTAAATTACGGATTATTTCAATTTAAAACTTTGTGATGTGCCTAAATTGTTTCTAAGCACTACTACAAAAGTGGAAAACTACATGAAATGGCTAATTTTAAAGAATGATATAGTGTAATAGTAGTTGATATTTTGCCCCGTATTCAGTAAACAATCGTAAGCTTTCGATTAATTTGTAGTTTGTACGCGTTAGGGCTTTATTCGAATGAGTGCGATAATGTCTGCATGTTTTGCATCTCAAACTTGCCCTGTACTTTAAAAACGAAAAAGAAATCTGATTTTCCACGATGTGCAAACTCTAGCTAATGTACGTCGGGGATAGGTAGTTCATCGGAGGTCAAAAGACGAACTTAAATCATTCGCCACAACCACCTTTGTCTATATTTTAGGTAAACACTGTAACTCGATAGATTACCTTATTCATGCCGAAATGAACACTTCTCCATTAGTCTTGTAGTGAATGATGATACAGACTTCCCTAAACCTAATCCATATTTGGTTAGGATCAGCTCGGATATTATTATTAAATTTCTTAAGAAACCTTATCTAACGTGGGTCTCTTTCCTAAGCTTATTTATGGACATCTTGTTAATCTTTATGACTTTTGTAGTTATTAGAGGTAGCACTTCTTTGTGTAATTTCTGCAAACAGCAAACGATTCCCAACAAATGTAGTTTTATGTCTGTAATGTGGAATTTCAAGAGTCTTTTGTACATATTATATATTATTTGCAAACTGAATAAGAAAACAAAACAGAAAACTTAACAGCACTGAAAGTATCTCTCAGTATAACTGGGTAATTAATTTTGGTAGTGCTCATTCATTAATTTTCATTTCACTTGAGTTAGTCTAATAATTTTCTTGAAATCTTCTTCAAACAACAAATAAACATGTGAATACTAATTGTTTTTCTGAATAGGGGAATTTCATCTTTTATGGAGAAAATAATTACAGTTAAGCAAGAACCTATTGATGATGCATATCCAACACCACTATCAACCACAACAACAACAAAAACAACAGCATCAACTACCAGTATCACAACAGCAGCACAGAATGTAACCACAAAAACCACAGCTGTGGTCACCATACCTTCAGGAACGGTGGTAACAGGAACAGGACCTGTAACAACTGTGCCTGCATCAGAACCTCAAATATTTTTCATACAGCCCAAACCAGAAGTTCAGAAACAGCAATGTGCTGGTACACAAGGTGAGAGTGATATGTCAGAGGGCAATGCAAATTTCTGTCAAAATTACAATGGCCTATGTATGTCACAATGATCCAAGCTTGAAAAACAGGAGCAAGCTCTATTGGTAATTAAAAGAAGAGCAAACAAACAACCAAAGTAGTTTCTTTAGGTTTAGCTTGAAGAATTTTTTTTGCTTTTTATCTAAAAATTTTATCAAAAAAAAATTCAAATTTGTTAGTTTAAGGAGGGGGAAAGAAGGAGAAGAGGAGGGAAATTAAAATTTAAAAATTACTTCACAGTACCTCTCCTAGGAAAAGGAAGTTTCCCTGTAAGCCTCAACATTGTGCAGAAGACCCTTTATTGCTGGCTCACTCATGAGAAGATCCAACCGAAATAGGCATTAAATACACTTTACATAGAAAATTTCTGAAAACTCTAGTAGCAAACTGATAAAAAGGGATCAATGACAAAAACATAACAATAATTTAAAGGTAATTTTTGGTGTCATTTCTTTGATCATCAAGAGTACTGACAATGGGGATTGTGGCAATCTTTTAAATAGAATGAAGGGGATCCTACGAACTATACAGTGTGTGTTGTGGTCCAACTTCTGTGGTCTTTATTTGTCATCCCCTCACATTCATCATCATAACTTAAAACAAGTAGAAAGCTAAATCAAATTTGATAAAGTTACAGTGTAGTTACTTGTCTATGGATTGGCTTTTTTTCACAGCTACTACTATAGCAACAACAGTGGCAAGGACGATTACAACAGCTGCCCAGTCAAAGCCTCCCTTAGTAGTCATTTCTGGTAGTCCCATTAAGCTGACACCCTTATCAAGAGGAGGTGCAGCTCTTACAGGTGCACAGACAAACTCCAGTTCCACTGGCAATATAACATGCACTTTAGTTCATGTACAGCCATTTACAAATAAACAGCACATTGCTCCTAAAACAGGAAGTTCTCCAAGCAAGCAAACTATTCCAGTGCAGCTCCAAAAATTGGTCCCCATTAGTGTTGCAACTTCATCTTTGACAAAGGTACAAACAGGCACGGCCCCTCAATTCACAATAGCTGCACCTGCTGGGTCTGTCTCTGGCATGCGGCACATTGCTCCCAAAGTGAACCTTGTATCAGCAGTTCCAACAGGACAGGCTGTTCAATTAACAACACCTACAGTGCAAGTCAGAAACATTGCTCCTGCTGTGGAGAAGACTGCTCAAGTTCCTCAGCAGGTAGGTCATATATACTTAGTCAATGAAAAGGTTGTAGTCTGGGTTACTATGACAGAGTATATTAAAAGCTTGTTAAAGCAATTATATTGTGCCTTTATCAAAGTAATGGTGCATATATAAAAAATATTTTCACATGGTTCCATTTTTCAGTCTTTGTCAATTTTTGCATTTTTTGAGTCATTCATTCTAGCTTTTCTGTGCAATTTTAAGAGAAACAGATGGACAATACATACACATTTTAAGCCTAGATGTGATAAAAGGATACTGACCATTTGTAGATGAGTAAGGTCATATGTGGTCAATATGATTATATTTGTGAGTGCTGTTTGCTTGCTTTTTCCCCATCAGCTGGCACCAAAGCCAGTCCAGACTCAAGTAGCCAGCAGTGGTCAGCAACAAAGACTCATTGTCCCAGCCTTACCTTCTACATTACCTCAGATAGCAACAACAGGAGCTTCAGGCAGCCTTCAGTTTCCCCATGGTGTAATTAGTGGTGGGGTAGTTTATCTCCCTCAGGTTTGTGACACAGAAAGGCTTGTTCATACAGATAATTATCTGCCTCACTTAAGGTATTGAGTCAAGCTCTGGCAAGTTCATGGTGCTTTGTCTGTGGGTTAAATGCTTAATTTTCACAAGGAGTGACCAAGGCAGAATTTTACCTTATATTATCAATACAATTTCATGCAGAAAAGCAGTGAGAATAAGGAAAACATCAATTATTAGAAACTATTAACTGATCCAATGACAAATTCTGCAAGCTACTATCATAACAATTGTGTGGCAGACAATAAGGAGATGTAATAGTGAGATCTTGGGAGTGGACGATGTTAAGGAAGAAGTGAAATCACTCCCTGCCATGGAATGAAGACTTGCATGGTAGAGGACTCTCTTCTTCTAACTGCTGTTGTGCTTTTTTTTCTTTTTGACCTTCAGCAAGCTCTTGCTTCTGGAGGTTTTCCTATTGCAGTACCTTTACAGGCTAATGCCATTAATACTCAAGCACAAGGAGGAATGACTGTTAATGGGTAAGTGTGTCAACTTCTGGTTTGAATTGTATCAACTGCTGGGTTTTGGTTAAGTCAGTGTACAGTTGAAGTGAGCAATAGCCCTGACTTTGTAATGCATTGATTCAGACATTTTGACTCAAGGAAGTTGTTTGTCATGAATAGCTGTGAAATGTCACTTGAATCACAGTGTTTGCCTTTATTTACTCATAGCAGTTCTCCTGAATCATCACCTCCCAACAGACCTCGGAAGCCTTGTAACTGCACAAAGTCACAATGTCTTAAATTGTAAGTGCAGTACTGGTAATACTTTATTGTATGATTCCAATGTAGAGTCCGTTCTGACACGTATTAATAAAATTGGAAGAACTAGTAGAAAGTATTGGATGTACATGAAGTCCTGGATTCCTGTATGTGAGTGAACAATGCCATGACATGATATCTGTGATTTGCAAGAAGTCCCAACAAAAACTTACCATCTTCTTCTACCAGAAGGTCTTGCCTCCAGGTTACAATTAATTATAGAATATTTATTTATGTGTACAACTAAGAACTGACCCAATAGATACCAAAGTTCATGCTTTCTATGCTCTGTGTCTGATTCTGTTAGGTACTGTGATTGTTTTGCAAATGGAGAATTCTGTAGCAATTGTAATTGTGTCAATTGCTCTAACAATATGGACCATGAAAAGGAGAGGAGCAAGGCCATTAAGGTTTGTGCAAGCATCTACCTCAACCCTATCCTACAGTCACACACAGAACCCAT